TACAATGTGCAGCTTCTTGTTCGTCTCGGTGCAATCTGATTTCAAGTAGTGGTGTTACTAATAGAACTTAGAAAGAGAAATGAGGATTGCTGTCGTAAATTAGTACAATAAGCATCCTGAAATCATTTTGGACATTAAGCAAAAAATCATTTTCCCTTGCTATTCTTTGTTATTATACCCCCTTTATTTGTCCTTGTTTTGTGAACAAGGATTACATCTTGAATTGACCTTTTTTGTTTTAGTCAGCTTTTGATAGAAAATTGGACAAATTTAATAGTACTAAAATTAAAGTCGCATTTAGTAAACTGTAGGCAAATTCAAGTAGTTCATCGTGTTTGGATTAGAGGGTGCGGACTTGGCAAGAAGTTGGGTTATCGTAAGAGCTTGTTTCACTTAGTTACAGTATAAAATCTAGCAAGTTGTTGAAATTAGCTCTATGATCAGCGAAGACGCCCATTCTGCTATCTGGTAATTCAAGCAGTTTTTCAATTTCTGGTTAATTGAAGTTGACGAGTCAAAAATACATATTTGTTGTGGAAATGGTTGGCTGTCGCTACCCCAGCCTTCATTTCTGCTTAACGAGCTTCCTTGAGAATGAAAGACCATAATGGATTAATGGATTAGATTGCGTAACAGGGGATATGGCATCATTTCTGGAGCGTGGGTACGTGAATCGGCAACTTGCTATGGGTCAAAGGAGGGGGTTTAAAAGGGGATAGCTGCCACCTTTAGATTTTACTCTAGGTGTAGAGGTTTGAACTTCTGACTTATTAGTTAGATTTGTACTTTATATTTTATTTAGTGGTTAACTCACTAAAAAAGAAGTGGTTAGTTGGCATCGTGTCACAAGTAGGTGTCACAAGTAGGCTGCTGGTGAGTCGAATCGCTTACAAGTAGCTTGTGAGAGACATGGTCAAATGTTTGGCTCGAATTCAGCCAAATCAAATTCGCACTCGAGGTCGAGTAGCCTGATGTATATATCAAGTCGAGTTCAAACCTCCATTTGTGCTATTCGAGTGCTTGTCAAGTAGCTTGATCACTAGTATATTATTTATATTATATTTTTATTTTAATTATAAAATGAATAATAAGGGTTTATGTTTTAGGTACTTTCCCATAAGTGTTGTTTATTCAATAAAATTCAGAAATGGTAAAAATGTAACATTGTATAAACTAAAAAGGAAATGAAGGTTTTAGATAATTTACCATAAAATTTTCAACATTTTATCGAGTTTTTGGAGTTTTATTTTAAGTCTTGGAGTTTGTTAAGACTCGAGTCTTAACGAGTTTTACATAATTTTCTACTCGCTCGAGTCGAATTCAAGCTCGAGCATGACATTATTCGAGCTTGATTACACTCGTTGACATCCCTAGTCATGAGTACAAAAATTGGTAATTGTCAATGTTTGGTTCATTCACAAATGATAAACAAAATAAGGCAGACAGAATGCTGTTTGACATAACTCACATGGTCGCTGAGAGGAGATATGTGGTATGTCATTACATCCATTTTTTTTTTTTTCACAACCATTTTATTCTACTCCTACACTAGCTTACTGTGGGGAAGGGGAGCCCAAAGAGGAGGTATGGTACATCGGAACATCGAGTGGCATCTATTTTTAATTCGTCCGGTTAAAACTATTGAAGCTAGCATGGGCAAAAGGCAAAGATTAATAATCCGGGCTTGTGGGGGCGGACGTCCGGCTTCCATCGTCGATGTTTTGTTATAAAGACAAGCTAACGCCGCCAAAGTAGTAGTTGTTATAAAGACAGCACTGTGGCAAATCATTTTGTAAGAGGGTATTGTAATAAAGTATCTCCATTCAACTGGATGTAAAATGACTGAAATCGTCTGCAGTAAATACCATTCCGTGATGCAATTGCACTCCAAGGTACTTTCCTCCGTTGTCGGTGTCTTCAAAGTCATGGGAGCGGATATTGTGTTTTGTACTCTAAAAGCACCTACCAACCATGAGTAAATGCTCAACATAATGAACTAGCTACCGAAATTTATGCCAAAGGGCCACATATAATCAAATCAGGCACCACAATATTGGAAAATACTACCGGATTCTCTAGACAATTCCCAAAGCGGGGTGGTGGATAAATGAATCTTTAGTTTCGTTATGGTGAAATTGCGTGTTTTCATTTTGTAAAAGGATATTGGCTTTACATTGAGAGGCTTTAATGATGGTTGGAAGCCCAATGATCAATGGACGTATCTTTTCGCTGCTAAAGGCCAGGATTGGCAAGAAGAGAACCATTATCGTTGGTCTGAAATCTGATAACTACAGCAGAGAAATGCTTCGCCGCTTACTCAGTTCGGTAGTGGTGCCAGGGGACAGTGTGCTGGCTGTTCATGTGCAAGAGTCGCATGATGGCTTTGATCCAAACACTTTCCTCATCCATGAAGATCTCTGCAAGTACAAACAGGTTAGTATATTCTTTAACACTGACTGCTTTCTGTTAACAATGGCAACATCCTTTGATCTCTCATTGTCATTGCCCAATGACCTGTGAACCACCGAAGTGGTTTGACAAATTAAACTCCCATGTAATGACCTCTCTAGGTGGATTTCCAAGTAAAGCTTTGTAACGGAAGCTTATATATAGTCGAATTGAGTCATCAGGTACGCGAACACTTTGCCACAATTCTGGCAGTCGGGTGCAGCAGTCAATGGTATGGCGATCCTCTCTCTAATGAGTTTATGTTGTAGCTTGCATTGCTACATTAATACCCCCCCCCCTCTCTCTCTCTCTCTCTCATTAGTCATTTGTCGGCAGGCCCAAAGATTCAACTGTTAACAAATGCTTAAAGGCATTGCCTCCAAGTTGCTCCCTTCTGGTTATGGATAATGGAGGTAAAATCTTATTGCAGAGGCAAGGAACTTCTCAACAGGGTTCTGTAACTAGAGTACTCCAGTCTTCTGTGTCATCCCTTTCCGAATTTGGTAGCCGTGACCATTCAGAGACTAGATTTCATCTTCAGAAATCACGGACAATGTCATGCCCCTCAACTTCATTACCTGTACAACCTACTGGAAGCAAGAAACTGCTCAGCATTAGGAAAAACCTGAGCTTTCCAGATGTAACACAGAAATTGTTTGAGAGGTTAGCTACTTTGGAGGTGAAGGGAAACAGCAGACGCTTTACACTGGAAGAACTAAGGCGTGCAACTAACAAATTTAGTCCTGAGGTGTTGATTGGAGAGGGAGGACATAGTAAGGTTTATCGAGCCGAACTTGATGATGGTCAGGCTGCAGCAGTGAAAGTACTTAACATCTCGCAACACTCTGATGAGGATCTCTTCCGGGAGGTGGAAATGCTGAGCAGTTTAAAACATGAAAACATAGTTCGGGTTCTAGGATTTTGTTATTGCAAAGATATGCAGGCTGTTGTCTACAATTTACTCAAAGGAAGTCTAAGGCAAAGACTAAAACAGCTGAGGTGGTCTGAGAGGATGCAACTTGCCATTGGTGTGGCGAGGGCACTGGACAACCTCCATTCCTCCTCCCCTCCTGTCATACACAGAGATGTAAAGTCCTCTAACATACTTCTCTCTGAGAATTGCCAACCACAGGTAAGTTCTTTTAGCTACCTTCCCAATGTTAATTTCCTTTCAAGATTTCAACAAATTAGTGATTGGGAAACCAAATTATGCGGCTAAGATTCTGTAGTTCCACCTGCAAAAAGTGGGAAAGTAATTGGTAAGTGATGACAAACGAGAATTTTGCTTTCAGTAATGCCGATACAAGACCTTGCCCATAAATTGCTCAGATGTGCTTGTTTGCAGTAAACATTTACATCCGAGTACTGCTTGCTTTTCTCTAACCCTTCAAATATCGATTTTTAGTTATATCTTTCAGACTTAGGCTAATTATTCAGATTTCACCTTATATTGATATTTCTTTTATGGTGCATTTAAGCGTTCAAGCGATAGCCTTTGAATGATATCTATCAAATATTGAGGTAAATGTGATATATTAACATTTTGGAGCAGCTATCAGATTTTGGAGCAGCAACAGTACTCCACCAAAACAAGCAAACGTCGTCAGTGTTCTCGAAGCCAATTCATGTGGTTGGAACTTTTGGTTACCTGGCCCCAGAGTACATGATGTATGGCAAAGTTGACGAGAAGATAGACGTGTATTCTTATGGTGTTGTGCTGTTGGAATTAATCACAGGGAAAGAGGCTATTCAGGCGAAATCTATGTCTAATCAAGAGAGCTTGGTTTTATGGGTAATGTTGAAATTAATGACCCTTACTTCAATCTACACAATTGACAAAAAAACAGGATTGATTCATATATATATATATATATATATATATATACATATATTGCCGATACTGATACTGACAATGCCAATGCGATTGTAGGCAAGGTCTCTTCTTAGTAGCGGTCTGTGTGAACGCTTGATTGATCCTAATCTAAACCAAGATTATTGCCAGGATGAAATGAAAATGATGATGATTGCCGCCCGTCTATGCCTTCTGCATTCATCATCTAGAAGGCCAACTATGAAGACGGTAATTTTTGTGCTGACAATTCATCATCATTCGTGGAAATAATATAAACTTACGACCGTCCTGAGTCCACTTGTGATCTCAGTGTTGCCTTTCCAAATTTAGATAAACCTTAAAGAAGCGTGACTTGAACCAAGAAGTTTGAAGCAACTATCTGGAGATGATATGATAGGAGATTATTAAGAATCTTAATGGCTAAATTAGTACGTCCTTTTGTTTTTAACAGGTTTTGCATCTGCTTGAGGAACCAGATCATTGGCTCGCAATGCAGACCAAAAGAGAGGAGCTCCTAATTATAAACGGTGATTCCAGAGAAGAAATAGAATTTTGCAGCAGACGTAAAGAATCAGTTTTCAGTGAAACTTTGTTAATGGACGATGGATAGCTATTAGCTAGCCGTTTCCCATCCGCAGATACACTTTCACTACAAGATGCATCAAAATCCAGCTCGCGTGCCTTAAGTTTATGTACAGAACTAGGTGGTAAGTACTACTAGTATATGTATCCGTGGTGCTTATTGGTTTTGTAACATCCCACTCTGCAGGAAACAGAACCATCACCTGTAAAGAGCGAATGGTAAAACAATCTATATGTTTCTTGGATTCCAATTACAAGACTTTGCGACTCGCTTTGTATCTTGTTAACAAGCGCGCCGGGAATAGTGGATGATATGGTAACAATTTAACACGAGGCAAACCGAGAAATCAGAAATGAACGGAGAGAAATCTCTTCTACAAGGAAAACACGAAAGTCATGGGAACAAAAAAGGCAAAAATTAGCATCAAGTTTATTAGTTTTGCAGAAGCATACCAATTACGAAGCACTACAGATGCAAAATCACAAATCCTTCAGAAGAGCTTATAATCTCCTGTCAGGTCACATGATGGCGAAGTTTGTGAATAAGGGCAGGGCAATGGTGAATGAGGATTGTTCCATGCTATAATCATCTTCACAGTTGAACCAGCTGAGCGAAGTTAATAGGCGATACGTAGAGAGGTGGACCAGCATAGAGCGTATTAGCTGCCAGGTTAGCAGCAGCTTGAGTCGGGTGGAATTGATCCCAGAACAAGTACTCCTTACGCTTTGAGCAAAGATTTGCAGTTGCATTACAAGCCTGTTCTGCGTTCAACTTGCCAAATCCGCAGCACGCAGTGTCCACCCTCGTGAAATCTGAGGGAACATTTATTTAATTTTATTTTGGAGTTTAATGAAAGCAAACGAAAGAATTGAATCCCCCTCCCCCGCAACCCCCCCCCCCCCAAAACCCACCATAGGGAAAAAAAAAGCCGTCCATGATTTTACCATGGTTCAAAGTTGTGGTCGCGACCCGGACTGTTCCACATCAGTCTCGACATATCGGTCGCGATCTCGGCGAGACGCAAATTTTTGAAATATTTAATATTTTAAAAATTGTAAAAAATATATGATAAATAAAAATAATTAAAGAATTAGCAAAAGTAATAAAAATTCGAATTGACTCGAGGAGATTCGGCCATTTATATCCGTCTCGATCGAGTTTTCGGTGATTCATTATTTCGGAGTCATCTCGTCCCGGTCGGATCGAGAAGCCCCGTTTCGATGAGAAATTATATCCGTCTAGGAGTTTCTCAACCGAGTCTTTGAACCCTGGATTCTACTTAAGGGGTATAGATGAGGAATTATTGTAGTATTTGTAGTAGAAGTATCTGGAGATGAAGATTATTTGGCTTACGGAAGGGCTGTGGATTGTCGATGACATTGATGGTCATTAAGTAAGCATTTCCAAGTGAGTATTTCATGTCCTCAAGCTCAGAGCCAATGCCGTACAATAGGGTCTCAAGTGCTGAATAAAAAGCTCTTGCCAATCCATTCAAGGCCTCGGAGCATTTTCCTTCAGCATCCAGAAGTCTAATGGTTGGGCAGCAACCGATTGGCGGCACACTTATGATGCCAAATTTCCGTGCTCCAAGGCTGTATAAAGTCTGATGATCACGTCAAAAACAACAAGAGTACTCCATCAATTCCTGAATTCTGAGCAAAGAACTTTAGTTTTGATCATTGAATAAAAAATCTTGTCCTAGCTACAAGACTGACTGAAAGCAAATCTTACTTTGATAGAGTTCTCGTATTCTTTCATGAGGAGGTAAATAAACTCTTGTGGAGTCGTGCTGCTATTGGAAACAACATAGTCAAAGAGGTCATTGCTTCCAATACTGATGCAAAACAAAGATTTTTGTAGCATTGCTTCCGTTGCCCCTGAACCCCTAACAGCAGAAAGATTACCTTGGAGCGTGGCAAATTGCTTAATCTGCTCTGATAATGGCACAACTCCCTGCGATTGGTAACATACCATTTTATGTCAGTGAGGATTCCAACGATTATCCAAATATCAGTACAAGTCTGTAAAATGCAACCAGAAGTGCACCACTCTAAAAATGCATTTAGTACAACTTCAAAAGAGATGGTGATCAACGTGAGGATATAGAACCGGGTGTAGCTTTTTGTAGGTTAGTCAATGAGTTCCACTAGTGTCAAAAAAAAATTACAAAAAGGAAAGAAAAATTGAAAATAAAATCATGGTTAGCTATCTCGGGCGACGAGTCCGATACGATTCGACCGAATCATAATCGAAACGGAGGGGACCAGTACGACACCGATTCCCGGATCGTGGATAATTCCATATCCATGGCGACATGTTTTAACTTGATCGATATTAGTTGATTCAAATCTGTGATGCATGGAATCGACCAAAACATCTGAATAAATTCGGAGTTGATTTGGATATTTTTTCAGACTACATCTTTTATGATATTTTCTATTTTTACTAATTTTTTCAGATTTTTAAAAAAAATTTATGTGCTATAATGTGAATATCATCCAATATACCACGACGGATGTAGAACAACCGCGACCTGCAACGATGGTGAACCATGAATAAAATGGAGGTGAAAAGTGGCTGGCTTACCAATGCTGAACCAGTGAGGTCAAGCAGGCCAGAACCCGCAGAAGCAAAGTTTGCGCCTCTGAAGGCGTGGTTTCTGAGATAAGAAAGCAAAGGGCTACCAAGACTGAGAAAGGGTCGTGGGCTGCTGTTATATCCCATTAACCTGGCTGGCCAATCATAAAATTCAAACAAAGGTCAGAATGTTGCACGCACATAACATAACAGATGCACGAATCGTCGTAGGAACATATCATATGATGGCAACAACAATAATGGATCACCTAGAAAATCAGCACCATTCAAGCCATTGCTAAACCTCCCAGTTGGCCTCGAGCGAGGGAAGTCAATGCCGTAATGAGGAAAGTCGGCTCTGGCCCTGCTTTCTTGCAAGTAAGAATTAGTACCAACGTCTACGGTGGAGTCACCCAGTATGAAAATCGCCGGAGGCTTTGCTGCACTGCCTAATGCAGCCTGCAACATCACCAATCCTACCAGCAAGGCAAGTGTTGCCTGGAGATAATATGAAAGAACAACGATATTGCATGATGATCTATTCTTCATTTTCTTTTCTTTCTTTTTTTTTGGTATTACCTTCCTCTAATGAATTCGATTGCTGTCAATTCCAGAAAGATCGATATAGATGCCAATTTATATAAACTGAGTTTTCTCCAAGTCACTAGCAAGAGTCGGGAAACTGATCTCAATTTACACAAGAAGACAACATCTTACTGACAAGTAAACACAGCTGGGCTATGAATGGCACTTGGCGGATTAACCTGGAGCTTGTACGTATTTTATCTGAAATGAAACGTGCGTCGTGTAGGTGGTTTCAATGGGGGGCTCCAATTCCATAGTCCATACTGGCATTGTTGTGAACCAAAATGAAAGTAAAAATGTCGACAATCATCCTGCCTTGCGGAAATGGTGCATTAATTTCTAGCCTGATGGCCGTAATATTTAGTTATTTACTATGTTTCTGTTTCCAAAAGCTGGCTCAAGATTTTCCGTGATCCCAGTCACTGCTAGATTACAATTTTCATTGGTGTTTCATTCAAAGGGTAAACGCATTGAGGCAAACGAAGGACGTTTTAGAGACTATAGTCTATACTATGTTATGAATTTTCTGGAGTAGACTTAGGCAGTGTTTGATCACATCAACCATCTGTCTTGGTCTAGTTCCCAGCCCGAATGCAAAATGGCCTTTCTTCCTTTTGCGATGGAAACTATGGAAGCCTTTGGACAGAGCAAATATTACCACCATAAAGTAAAGAAATCATGGCGCATCACAAAAGTTGAAAAACCTGATTTCTTTGTCATTTCAATTGTCAGCATCTCATGGAACCAAAACGATGCTGCCTAAAATTGCTTGACACTGACATTATTGCTGGGGAGTGATATTAACAATATCCAGCCAAGCGATTAGCCTTTTGCTGTCTGAGGTTCTATTTTCTTTTGGCCACACCGCCGGACCTTTTTTTTTTGGCACTCTGCTGGACTTAAATAAATTACGTAGAAGGAGCTCTAATGTTTAGTTATTCAAATTCGCAAGATTCATATAGTCGGTAATTTTCATTTATGGGATCATATATAATATGGATATGGCCAATTTAATTTGGCTTCTTCTTCTTCTTCTTTTTTGAATTTTACCTCGGCGAATATATTGTTGTGTTTTTTTTTTATAAAAGAAAATTTCATTACCCGATTGTTGAAAATCGTCTAACATGATTTGATTTACATCATTGCCTTAATGGCAGGTTAAACATGCACTAGAAATTATAGATTTGCAATTTAACAGATATAATAGATTTAAAAAATTGTCAATAAACCTAAAAAATACAAAAAATTTCTCACTTATGTTCTAATAGATAAATCACTACAATTCCCTTCTGTGCATGTTGTAATCGTCAGATTTGCTAATCAACACAATTTGATTTACATCGCTGCCTTAACGGCAGGTTAAACATGTACTAAAAATTATAAATATGCAATTTAATAGATATAATAGATCTGAAAAATACAAGAAATGTCTTACTTATCATCTAATAGATAAATCACTACAATTCCCTTTTGTGCATATTGTAATTGCCAAATCTGCTAATTAATTGTTGTGTCAACTATTGTTTGATGATGATGATGGTTAGATTATGGCCTAGTTCTCAATTGATTTGGATTTTATAAAATTTGATTATAGAGAATAATTAGAATCATCAAAAACTACTTTTTGAGTGATTGTAGATTTTAACTTTTTTAGTTATTAAAAAATTTATAATTAGAATACAAAAAAATAGAGAACAGTTGCTTATCCAAATCAGAATTTATAATCAATTAAAATAATCAATCAAGAACAAGCCCCATGTGATTCCCGTCTAACTAATATTTCCATGGCTTTGTTCTTTTTGGATCTTCCATCAACATCTAAGGATATACTAGTTTCATTTTGGTGGTTAATGCAATAAATGTGGGGGTAGGACTGAATATATGGATAAACATACTTTGGGCCTTGGCATATTTAAGGCCCGTTACTGCTCCAGTGAAAAGTCCATGGGCTACTTTCTCTTTTTTTTTTTTTTTCTTTTGTCGATCGATACTTGTCTATCTTAAATCTATTCCTACATTTACTTTAACCTATACTAAGAAGGAGGGTATGTGGATTTCAGCCACTTAAAGTGACAAGCGGTGGGAGGCAAGAGTTGAACGTTTAACCTCTCATTCTACAAGTCTTAAACGCTATGGTGGTGGGCTGTTTGGACAACTTTGTCATTGGATTATAATTTCCACGAACGACCACTAAAGTGAAAAAGAAAATCATTCAAAACGTCTCTCAAATTTTACAAAATGACTTTTTTCGCCTCTCACTTTAAAAAAGTGTAATTTTACGTATTTTACAAATTTATAGTGATCAAATTTGGTCCCTATCTGGGGCCTTGTTTGGCAGACAAGTTTTTTTGCCAAATTTGTCTGCTACAAGTTTTTTAAAAAACTTTAACTACAGTAACTTCAAAAAATTTCTCAAAGTTTTTAAACTGTACACTTCAAAATATTAAAAAAAACGCACACTTCAAAAAATTTTTAAAAAACTTCTACAGTAAGTTACAGTAAAGTTTTAGATAAACACCGAAAAAACTTACTTGCCAAATGGTGCCTAGGTTTCCCACTAATTTTTGGTCGGAATCCACCATATACGTTACACGTGATCATTTTTTAGGGGCAAAATTATCAAATCATATTTCACTGAATCTGATTTATAGTTCTTTACATTTCACAAAATGAAATTTTTATGTTCCCCATATTTCATAAAATAAATTTTTTCATCCATCGCATTTCATAAAATGAATTTTTTCATCCCTCATATTTTATAAAATGAATTTTTTTATTCCTCATTAATCATGTGTATGAATAGATTTTTTTAAAAAAAAAAAATTCATGCGTATGTCTATTTTATTTCACATGAATAGTACAGGTAGCGTGTAATATATCTCTATTTGATTTGACCTACAACTACAATTAGATTGTTCATATGAAATCAGATAGAGATATATTACATACTATTCATACTATTTAGATAAAATCAAATAGACATACACATTAATTTTCAAAAGCAAGAAAAAAATATTCGTACATATGATTAATGGGAAATGAAAAAATTCATTTTATAAAATGTGAGAGACAAAAAATTTATTTTGTGAATGCGAGGGATGAAAAAATTCATTTTATAAAATGTGAGGGACTATAAATCAGATTATGTGAATTGTGATTTGACAATTTTGTTTTTCAAAATTGATCACGTACAAGACATGTAGTGGATTCCGACTAAAAAAACTAGTCAGAAATCTAAATAAGGACCATTGAACAAATCAGAATAATATAGTCAAAATAATATATTTTGCTGACAAAATATAGTTTTTTTATTCTGATGTGACAAAATATAGTTGTTTTTAAATGCCAAGAGTATATATTTAAACTTTATTGAAGTTTTCGCAATTTACAAAGATAATATTTTTCTTTATTGTAAAGTGTTTTGAGTTAATTTATAAATCATTTACATATTTTTTTATTTTTTTTGTCTAAATTGATGGCTTGGCAACTAAAAAGATACAACATCTTAAAATTTATATATAAACTTGCTTTTATCTTTTTTAAGTTAGTCCAAAAAGGTATACTCATGATTATAAATTATTGCAATTTATTTTTAAGAGTATTGTAATCATTCATAATTTTAAGTAATTTAACTTTTTGTCCGAACCAATGACACAAAATTTGTTAAAGAGCTTTTTTTTATCCTATTATCAAACATTAAATTTTCATTGAAGAACTATATCGATCAATTTATAAAATTTAAGCAATAAATTTGGTGTATCATGACAATTAAGAAATCACAAGAAAAGGGCAAATTTGAAATGAAATTGTATTCTCTCTCCCAAAATGAGATTTTTAATATTATATTCTGAAATGAATTTTAAATATTACAAAAAGTTTAAAACTGGGGAACCAAGTGAGATTTTTTTTTTAAAGTTTGAGGATGCTAAATGAAACAATTAGAAACCTCAAGGGAGGTTTTTGAAATTATCCCATAAAAATTTCTAACTTTGACCATTTGATATTGGAAAGCAAGCTAATTGTACGTCTGGGGCAGTAGAATGTTAGAAAGGTTTCTAGTTGTGCCCGGCAGCCCAACAATTTTAAAAAAAAATTATTTTTCCCTTGTTTGCTGGGCTGATTAAGTCCGACAGGCATAGTTTTATATCGGTCCCTGTCAGGTCAATATTCTTGCGATATTTTTTTTTTCAGCAATAAATAAAGAAATTAGCCGAGCCACAATGATTGTCAGTATAATCGTTCTAAAACTATAATCCGGAATGCCTTTCTTCGTTTTATTTTTTATTTTGTCCTATTGGCCGGGTCCTTTCCGTTTGTTTTTATCTGGCCTTATTGGCCAAATCCATCATGTTCGTGCCTAGATTTGGTAATACAGAATCAAGGGGTTGTCTCTCTTTGTGAATAGGTCAGATTTGGCTAACAAAACACTATTGTGTTTGGTCAGGAGATTATTTGTCCAAATATATTTACTTATATCACTATTACAATTTTCAATATATCTTTTTATCTTTTCAATTATCTTTTTATTTCACATACATCACATCACAAAAAATACTACAGTAAAAATATCTCAAATAATTTATAATCATTTTTAAAATTTTTCCAAATTTTTTTTGAGAATAGGATTCCAATAAAATATTGGAATGAACATTACAAAAGGAAAGGCTTCTCCGCTTAAATTACCCATAGCAAGCAGTGAAATGAAATGGACAACTTGGAAAGTATTTTTTTTTTTTTGTCGACACAAGGATGTCCGGGTCAATCCTTACGGGGCCCGACTAATCCCCTACGGCCCGGGAAAGGAGGCCCCACTCTACTCCGGACACGGTAACTCCAGGCAGACTCGAATTTTGATTGCCCAAGGCCGGACAACGCCCCTAAAGAAGAAAGCGTGACCGACTGAGCTGCCTGGGGGTTTGGAAAGTACTTACTAACACAAGAGGTAAGATGGTGGTTTAATTTTC